AAAGTCGGATGCTTAACTGACTGAGCCACCCAGGTGCCCCCAAAAAGTTTTTATCTTTTTAAAATACATCTTCCTATGATTTCACTTGTTACAAAGAACATATGTATGCATGCATTAAAAACCTGGAAATTCGTGTGCCAAAATTTTAACAGTGGTTATTTTGGGGTGATAGGAATATAGTACTTAAAAAAACTTTATTCTTTACGTTTTTCTCTATCATAGAAATTGTTTATAGTAAGCATATATTATGTTTTTAAATTTTTAACTACTCTTTGATAACTTATGATCATTGTAAATACATTTTAAATACCTATAAAGTAAATGTCTCCCTGTAATCTCACCCTTTCCCAACCTAGAAGATAACCACTGTTAATAATTTGATATATATATATGTGTGTGTGTGTGTGTGTGTGTGTGTATATATATATATATATATATATACATACATATATATCCTTCTAGTCTTTTTTTTTAATGTTTATTTACTTTTGAGAGAGAGAGTGTGAGTGGGGGAGGAGCAGAGAGAGAGGGAGACACAGAAACTGAAGCAGGCTCTAGGCTCTGAGCTGTCAGCACAGAACCCGATACGGGGCTTGAACCCACGAACTGTGAGATCGTGACCTGAGCTGAAATTGGACGCTTACCGACTGAGCCACCCAGGCGCCCCTGTCCTTCTAGTCTTTTAAAATAGGCCATAGCAAATACAATTGACCCTTGACCAACAGGGAGTTTGAACTGTGGAGGTCCACTTATATGTGGATTTTTTTTTAAATAAATTCAGAGTAGTACTATAAATGTATTTTCTCTTATGATTTTCTTAGTAACATTTTCTTTTATCTAGTTTACTTTATTGTAAGAATATAGTATGTAATATATATAACATACAAATACATGTTAATTGATTATTGTTAAGGTTTCTGGTCAATAATAGGCTATTAGTAGTTAAGTTTTGGGAGAGTCAAAAGTTGTAGTCAAAAGTTTTCAACTCTGTGGAGGTTGAAGCCCCTAATCCCCTGAGTTGTTCAAGGGTCAGCTGTAATTGGAAGTTTCTCAAACAAAACATCCTCTGTCTTGTCTCTGGCCTTTGCATCTCTTGGCCTTTGCACTGGCTGCTCCATGAGTGGATTGTCCCTCAGCCCCTCCTCTTCCTCCTGCTTCCATTCTCTTCATCCAGCTGTTCAATTTCTCTTCCCCTTTCACAACAGCACTCAAGTATTTATTTTTTTATAAATATTTCTTGATCCTCCAAGCCCCACCCCAAGCTAGGTTGAATTGTACTACCTTTCTGTGTCCCCATGATACCTTATGCATACCACTTGAAGTACTTTTCACACTGTATCCATGATTTTCTAATTTTTTTGCCCCATTAACTGGACATTCTTGAAGGCCAAGTTGGGGTCTTAATTATTTTTGTGTTTTTAGCATTTGGCACAGTGGTAAGCACCCAATAAATTGTTGAGTGGATTGAAAAAATTCATTACATCAGTAAGGTACAAACAGGTACCTTTAAGGGGAGTCCTATTTTCTTTCTTCTCTGAAATATCTTTTTCTCCACACAGACTGATTTTCTGCCACCTCACAGCTTCTTGTGGTAGGGACCTCTCTTTAGTATTTGAAACTAACCAGTATTTGACAGATTTGGAATTTGTAAAAAATACCCTGGAAGATTCAGGAATGAGGCTTCTGTGTGAAGGATTAAAGCAGCCAAACTGTGTCTTACAGACATTGAGGTAACTGATAGCAGGAGATTTTGTTTTCTCTGTTCATATCATTTTTTGTCAATTTCTGTTTGCATGTGGGGAGAGCATGAACAAGATGATGAGGTCATTCTTCTTTTCTCTGAAGGTTGTACCGATGCCTTATATCTCCTGCTTCTTGTGGGGCACTAGCAGCTGTTCTCAGCCCCAGTCAGTGGCTCACTGATCTGGAATTTAGGGAAACAAAATTGGAAGCTTCAGCTCTGAAATTGCTCTGTGAAGCCTTAAAAGATCCAAATTGCAAATTACAGAAGCTCAAGTAAGTTGTAACTGTTAGTTTCCTTACTGCAAGAAAATAATTTAAATATGCAACTCAAAATGGACATTTTGTGATGAAAACATTTCAAAGAGTCATGGAGAGGAAGAATAAAAAGTGACAGTCCCTAAAATTGTTTCTATGCAACAAGTTTAGGAAGAGAATTTTCATTGTAAGTAACAATAACATCAATGACTATAATAATAACCCACACTTATTGAACAGTTACTTTGTGCTAACCATTGTGCTGAGTGCTTTGTATCCACTATTTCCTTTAATTATTATCCCCATTTTAGCAGATGAGGAACTGGAGACCTAAGATCATAAGACTAAATAACATGGTAAAGGCACAATTCAAAACTGACATGTGTTTGACTTCAAAGTCCATGGTAATGATTTTAATAAAAAACTTATCATATACATGTTAGGGTTCTCTACAGAAACAGAACAAATAAGATATATACAAAATATGCAATTGACTCTTGAGCAATATGGAGGTTGGGGTGCCACTCCTACCCCCGCCAGTTGAAAATCCACATAGAACTTTTGACCTTCCAAAAACTTAACTACAAATAGCCTACTGTTGACTGGAAGCCTTATTGATAACATGAACAGTCAACTAACACATTCTGTATATATATATTATATGCTGTATTAAAACAAAGTAAGCTAGAGGAAAGAAAATGTTAAGAAAATCATAAGAGAAAAATACGTTTACAGTACTATACTGTATTTATCAAAAATTCGTGTTTAAGTGAACTTGTGCAGTTCAAACCTGTGTTGTTCAAGGGTCAACTGTATAGAGAGATTTATTCTAAGGAATTGGCTCATGTGGATTATGGTGGCTGTCAAGTTCAATATCTGCAAGGTAGGTCAGTAGGCTAGAGACACAAGGAAGAGCCGACGTTGCAGCTTAAGTCTGAAGGCATTCTCCTGGGAGAATTCTGTCTTCTTCCCAAGGAGGTCAGTCTTTTTCTAGAAAACCTTTCAACTGATTAGATGAGGCCCATCCAAACTATGGAGGGTAAATTACTTTACTCAAAGTCTACTGATTTCAATACTAATCTCATATAAAAAGGACCTTTCCAAATACATCTAGAATAATGTTTGACCAAATGTCTGGACATATGACCCAGCCAACTTGAGGCATAAAATTAACTATCATAATATATATGTGGGTTTTTTAAGGCAAAACCTCTTTAGCATTGAAGCTTTAAAAAATCCACTTTGAAACTTTTTTTTTCTGGCAGAATGCCTCTATTTAAAATTTCTAAATTGGGGAGATACAGACATGTGTACTTATAAGCCCTCCTTCAAAGCTAAGGTTGGAGCCTGGTAACTCAAGAGAAAATTGAGGACTCAAAAATTGTAGTGTATATCATAGAAATTTTTTTAAATGTTGGAAGAAAAAGTTGATGGGAAATAGTTCAAGAAATTGAACTACTTAATATGGAGAAACAAAGATTTAGAAGACAGGAAGGTTGGTAAAAACCACTCTTCATCCCAAACAAGGAATATCATGTGGAGGATAATGATGGGCTGGGTCTCTGTAAGGATGGAATATTAATTAATAATGGACTTAAAATTTGTTTATGTTTCTTTATTTTTGAGAGAGAGAGAGAGAGGCAGAATGTGAGCATGGGAGAGGCAAAGAGAGAAGGAGACACAGAATCCAAAGCAGGCTCCAGGGTCCCAGCTGTCAGCACAGAGCCTGACACAGGGCTCAAACCCACGAGCCATGAAATCATGACCTGAGCCAATGTTGGATGCTTAACCGACTGAGCCACTCGGGCACCCCGATAATGGACTTTTAGATAAGAGGCAAGATCTTTTGACTATGAAGCTTATTAAGGATATTATAGTAACCCCCCCCCCCC